GTTATACAAAATAATAATAAATAAAAAATAATTAATAAAATAATTAAATAAATAAAATGATTTTAATAAATATGATTTTAATAATAAAATAATAATTTGATAATTACCATTCGATAACCATCAACTGTGCTAATTTGTTCCTAAGGTGATTTATAAAATAACATTCTAAATTGAAATGAAGTTACACTATACATGACATTATGTAAGATTAACATTCTCACTTACAGTCATAAATCAAATATGTGAAATTTTGAATTAAATATAGTAAAATTGTATACAAATTTGATAATCAAATGAAAAAAATATGGAAAATATTTGAAAGGGCATGGGTAAAATTTACGAGAAATAATAAATAATAAAAATGTCAAAGATGGAACAAGAACACTTAATCCTTTTTCATATTCAATAATTTTAATATGGTAGTTTAACGTATTTAATTAATAGATAAAAACTATGTATAAGTACTATTATCATAACTTTTTAATGCTATATTTACTCTCCCATTGGAATCTCTAAAGTTTTCATGAGTCAAGTGCTTTTGTTGAGACATTCTTCCCTCGTTTATTTGTTTTATTTATTTCATGAGTAAATTAAAAAAAAAATTCAAATTGTGCTTTGATAAATAACTTTACGAAAAAGAAAAAGTTGTGCATGGAAAAATGACTTTGGATGAAATCATACACGAACGGACAACCTTTTTACGTGATAATTTTTTTTATAATGTTGTGTTCTAATGAAAGACTTCAGTACAATTTTTTTAAAACTAACGTTGTCAATAGGCGTTAATTGATTAATGACTTCTGTTCAACTTTTTTATTTCGAAGTCATTTGATTAATGATTTTAGTTCAATGTTTTTATATTGAAGTTGTCAACTGATTAACGATGTTCGTTCCTATATTTTTTAATTAAATTTTTATTTTTAAATAATTAAAGTTTTATTTAATATTAAAAAATTAATAAAATAAATTATTATTATTTAGATGTCTATAATATTAAATAAAATTTAAATATATTAAATTGTAAAAAATAAAATATGGATATATTAATGAGAAAAATATACATATATTATATAAGAAAATAAAATTTTATATTTTCATTGACAAAAAATAACAATCATCACAATAATTACCTTTGTTCCGACAAAATGAATAATTTTTTTTCTTTATTAAAAAAAGGTTCATTCGTATTATTATAAATGTGATATGTTGTTAGTCTCTTTTTTATTGTTGTTCACGTAAACTTGGATTAAAAATGAATTTTGAACCTAATTTATAATGAAAACAAATTATACCAGTGTGGGAAATTGGCCCAATAATTCATAACCATGAATTCACTTTTTTTATTTTCTATTTCTTTATTACTAGAATAATTGGAGGACATTACTTTTTATTTAGGTTCAAAATTTTATTCCTATTCCAAATCAATATGAATCTAATCTAAATAAGTAAAAAAAAATATTTATTTTATCAGAAAGAAGATCATCATCGTAGTAATTATCTAATAAAAATGTAAAATTTCATTTTTTTTATATAATATATGCATGTTTTCCTCGTTAACGTATTCCTATCTTCTTTTTACCAATAATATATTTAAAAATTATTTAATATTATAGATGTCTAAATAATAATTATTTATTTATTTTATTAATTTTTAAATATTAAATAAAACTTTAAATATTTAATAATAAAAATTTAATTTAAAAATATATGATCAATTGACAACTTCAGTATAAAAAAATTGAACTAAAATCAACAATCAATTGATGATTTCAATATAAAAGAAATTGAACTAAATTCCTCAATTAATTGACAATTTCAGTTTAAAAAAAATTGTATCAAAGTTAGTTCACTGGAACACGACTTTACCCAAAAAAAATTATCACATGAAGAAGTCGTCCATTTGTGTTCGACTTCAACCAAAGTCATCTTCCTCTTAGTGAATTCATATATAAAAGTACAACTAACCCATATTCAAAAAATTTTAAAAATTTACCCGTTTTAAAAATAAATAAAGCAAATTGCACCACTTTGATCAATTCGCCGAAGTTATGTCTCTTGGCCACCTTTAGTTAGGGTATCAAAATGTTTGTATTTGGGAAGTTTCTAACTCTATAATAAGTTGTTCTTCCTCCTAACTTTGTGTATATTTGACTAATTAGTAAAAATGTCAAATTAATTTACTCGAATAAGTATTAAAACAATTATTCAATCATTGTCAAAGTAGTAAAATGGGTTCATCCGGTCAATTTTGTTTTCGTGCAACTCATTAAAATAGAGATAGGACATTATTGAAGTCAGGATGAAAACCTTAATTTATCTCTAGAGAAAACATATTAACATGATTCTTCAATTTTTTTTTAAATAAAAATAATTTTTATATTTTCAAAAAAATATGATTTTATTTATATGAATATTTTATAATCAATTATAAATTGAGAAACTAATATCTTTTATTGGATATACTGCAAAATTATATTTATATGTTAAAATACTTAATAATAATTAAGAGTTTAAATTTAATTGGTTATTTATAATTTATTTATAATATTATATATTTATATATTTCAACAATATAATATAAAAAAATATAATGTTTTAAATCATAATCTAATTTTTTTATTTAATACGTAAATGTTTTTTAAAAATGGGTTATAGTGTATCCTATCTTATATTTAATCTTTCATTATGGGTGGGGTTAGGTATAACGAGTTAAAATGGTTCCTAATATAATTAATTTATTTTTAGTGCCCATTCTTATACATTTTATTATTATCATACTTTTACATTGTAATTTTATTGAACAGCTAATTTATTGAAGTGGTCTCCTTACCACGTGATGCTAACATGTATCAAAATTGAAAACTTAATTGTAAAATATGAAAGAAAAAATGGATATAATGAAGTATTTTAATAAATAATTGAATAAGTATATTTTATTCAGAGTACATGAGAGTTGTAATAATAATAATAATAATAATAATAATAATAAAAGGTCTTATGTTATTTTTTATTTTATTATTATTATTATTATTATTATTATTATTATTATTTTACTTTAATTTAAAATTTTCACATATTTTACTAATTGATTTTAAAAATTATGCATATTTTAATGTTACATCAACCATCTATATTAACGTTAAATCTAATTTTTATTATATTCTCATATCAATGATCATGTTGTCATATTATCACTCAACTTTTCACATCATTAGTCAATTAAGGACAATTATGGATCAACTAATTGTACAAAATAATGATAACTCAGAGATAAGATGTACTATATAAATTGCATATTTAAGATATAATTAAATTATAATAATATAAGAATTACAAATATTATCTTATACGTTAATTTGTAGTCTAGATGGTATTTTTATAAATATTTTGTTAACTTATTCAGTAATTTTTCTATGAGAATTGTTAAAATAAGTTGTAAGTTAATTGCTAAATTTATTTCAAAAGCATTGATGCTTTAGTGTGTTTTTCACTATCATAAATAACCGTTAACCGGAATTAACTACGAAATTCTAAATTTAATAATCTCGAATTCAAATTCTAGTAACCCCGTTTATTCTTTCATATACTCCTATCTCACATTACAATAAATAAAATATTTTAAATTAAATACATTACTAGTTTTAGAATAGATATGGTATCAAATACACACATTGTTAATCAATCTTATTGCCTAAACCCCACAATCTTAATCTATTTAACCTTTGAAATTTGGATTATAAATTATTAAATATTGGATTTATTTGGATGATTGAAAGGGAAAAAAATTGATAAATTTATATATGGAATAATTTGATAAACCTCAATTACAATAATGTGACATACTAATCCAACACAATTCTAAATTCTAATGTTAATTTTCAAATATTCTGATTTAATATCTATTGACATAATTATATTATCCTTATTTTTTAAAACATATAGTTATAAGTTTTAAAATAAACTGGTCCATTGGGCCTAATAAGTTAAACAAACATAACCAAAAATAGCGAACTTCATTTTGAGTAATTATTTCTTTAAGCCCAACTCATATTACTTAACAAATTATTGGATGCTACCATTCATGTGGGAATCATCACACTACTGCTCCTGAAATTTGATTTTTCTGTTTTGCTTTGAAATGTCTTTGTAGCATATGGTACGATGGGAATATTCTTGAAAAGCAAAGGCACTTGCATCATCATTGTTAGGATCGAGCGCTTACCACTAGGCCAAAAGCTATAGCCATTAGTCAGAGCGCAACTCTTTTTACTTTAACAGCCCAAGCGCCACGATTCAATTGTGACTCGGCCCACCTGACCTTCGTCACAGGACAATTGATGCTACCTGCAACAATCTCCCCCTCAGCAATTGTCCTACAAGGTATCTCACTCTTGGATTGTGACTTGGCCCACCCGGCCTCTGCCACGGGACAATTGTGCAACCTGCAACAATCTCCCCCTCAACAATTGCCCACCAGGAATCGAACTCGTGACCTTGGCTCTGATACCAATTGTTAGGATCGAGCGCTTACCACTAGGCCAAAAGCTATAGCCATTAGTCGAAGCGCAACTCTTTTTACTTTAACAGCCTCAAGCGCCACGATTCAATTGTGACTCTGCCCACCCGACCTTCGTCACAGGACAATTGATGCTACCTGCAACAATCATTTTATATAATATATTAGATAAACAAGTTTGACATGATTTTATATAATAAATTAGATTAAAAATTTATATATTCATTTATATTTATTCCACGTGTTATTTATTTAACCTTTTCGACTAAGAATAATAATAATAATAATACACTACAAATAATATGTTATTTAGTAGAAGTTAAATTTTGACGGTGTTCATCAAATGCTGTAACTTATACAATTGTGACAATTAATTTGAACCGTTACAATGAATCAATTTTTAATTTAAAGTTGAAAAATATTAACTATCCTTCTAGGTTCAATTTCCAATGATGTATACTTCTACTTTCGAAAGCTTCTCACTTCAATATTTTGCGATGCGTCTCTCACTTATTCTTGTTTTTAGCCCCAGATTTGTCATGACAAAGGTGGTCATGGTCGTGATCAACCCATGCTCGACAATGTCTTCGAATGCGGAGATTTCAGTATCAATAGTGAGGAAATCCTTAATTAGAGTCTTAAAGTACAAATCCACAGTGTAATTAGAATTATCGGGTCACATAGGGTTTGTTACATTTGTCCAATCTCAATTTGGCATCGCATCTTTCTTCCTTGAAGAGTTGTTGGAGGAGATCTAGATTATACTTGCAGTAGAACTGAACCACCTCCACCGGCATGGCGAGGCCCCTGCCGCTGAGGCGTCAACGAGTTTCATGTCGTCCACATCGACCATGAAATTGTCAAAGACGGCCTCCACCATGTTCTCACAGAGGCGTGACCTTTGACGAGATTAAGGTCGGGGTTGACCGCATTGACACCGTCGATGGTGAGATCGAGGCATGAATTATCATTGAGGACGGAGAGGGGATGCCGAGGGAGTGGGTTTGTTGCTCCATTTGCTTGAAGAATGCCGACAATGTAGGTAAGAGTGAGCCTTGTTTTTTAGTTTTCTATCATCGGAGAGACACAACCACAACGAGTGTCACACCACACTACACCTAGATTTTTTTGTTTGGCCCTTTTCTTATTTCTATATTATTTTATTTTCATTTTTCTTTTGATTTATTGTTTTACTACCACGCCATATGTGAATTCAACAAATTCAAGTTTAGGATTAAGAAATTGGTTGTTGTCTTGGATTTTCATGTTTTTGGCCTATCTACTGCATTGACCTTAAGGCTGATATTGAACCACAAAATATTTTATATGATAAACTCATATTTAAGAGGGGATTTTCATTTAACAGGTTATTTTAGGTTCTTCTATGATGAGTAGTCATGGGAATTAGATTTGACCTTTAGACTAGAGATTTGTACAAATGATGAAGTTAAGTTGTGATTTAACTCAATTTATACTAAGATGTTTAGTTGAAAACTAATTACAAACAAATTATGAACAAATACTAACACTACTACAAATAAAGCTTTCAACGTCGGTTGTTGAACCGAACCGACGTTGTATTAGGCGACGTTGAAAGTATGATTTTTTAAATTAATATTTTTTATTTATTTACAACCCCTTTACCCCCCCCCCCTTTATTTATCTAGAAGTCTCCCCTCTCTTTATATTATATTTTTATTAGGTCCTCCATCTCTTTATATTATATCTTTTAGAAGTTTATTAATTTTTTAAGTGATTTTTTAAATTAATATTTTTTATTTATTTACAACCCCCCTCTCTTTATATTATATTTTTATTAGGTCCTCCATCTCTTTATATTATATCTTTTAGAAGTTTATTAATTTTTTAAGAGAATTGTCATTGGCAAGATTCGAACCCAAGTACTTTAGAGTTGGAGGTTGATACTCCAACCACTAAACTACTAGAATTTTCTCGATAATAACTTACAAATAAATTATATTTATATACAAATAAATATATATCCGTGTAAATATATAAATATATAAATACAAATATATTTTGATATATTTATATAGTTATATATTTATATGTTGGATGTGAGGGCACACTCGAAAGTGAAAGTGTGTGTCGAGTGGGTTTTCAAAATTTGATGCTAAATTTGTGAGCAGGTATCTTTATATGAGTTTGTAATTTAATGACAAAATATAATCTTTATAATTTTATTTATATAATAAATTTGGGAAACGCGTTATTCGCTCTCAAGCGAAAAATACAAATTTTCGCTCAAGCGAAACTTGAGTGAGTGACTTTCCGTGAGCTTTAACATATTTTCACTCAAGCGAGAGTCAATCACACTTTCACTCTCGATCGAAAAATACCAATATAATTTATTTGTAAGTTATTATCAAAAAATTATAGTAGTTTAGTGGTTGGGATATTAACTTTCAACCCTAAAATACTAGGTTCAAATGCTATAAGTAACAATTCATTAACTTAAGAGAATTTTTGGCTGAAAAAAAATTACTTTCCAGAAAATATATACAAATAAATATATATTTACATGGATATATATTTATTTGTATATAAATATAATTTATTTATAAGTTATTATTAGAAAATTATAATAGTTTAGTTGTTAGAGTATTAGTTTTCAATTCTAAAATCTTGAGTTCGAATCCTGCTAGTGACAATTTTCAAATTTAAGTGAATTTTTGGGTGAAAAAAAAAAGACTTTCAATGTCGGTTCATATGAGAATCGACATAGAATGTGTTTAATATTTAATATTCAACTTTCAACGTCGGCTCATCTGGGAACCGACGTGCAAAGTACTTTCTCCGTCGTCTCAGCTATAACTGACGTTAAATGACGATGTAGAAAGTATATTTTGTAGTAGTGTAACCCATTGAAGTTAAATCCTACTTCCTGCTTGAATTTTTCTTCATTGAAGTTGTATGACTTACCCACATTGCTTTATGGTAATGTGCATTATACGGCAGTATTTGATGCATTTGGTTAGAGTAATAATCCTATTTTTAAGGGGGGGTTTATTTGGTCTAGTTGCTTACTGAGATAAATTAGGCTATCGGCTTCTATTTGGTGTGAAGAACACTTTCTCTTTTTAAAGGGGTTTTCTTAATATATATATATATATATATATATATATATATATATATATATATATATATATATATATATATATATATATATATATATATATGGAGGATTGGATGTTTTTCAAATTCTTATTCTTTTTCTTGTTTTATTTTCATTTTTTCATTATGATCTTGTATCCTCCAAATTCCTTTGTAATTTTCTTCTCTTCATCTTAATGGATTTCTTGAGTGCAAGTTCTCGTGCAACAGTAAGGTTGTTGCTTTATGATGTGGTGGTTGCATGTTCAAATCTTGAAAACTATCTTTTAACTTGTGGGGTAAAGAGTACTTACATTTATGTACTGGGCAATATTTTTTTCATCCTGACAAATTTATTCATTGATAGATTGAAAAAAAGTGAAAAATATATGGGACAAAGACTAAAATTGTGATACTGCATTGAGGAGGAAAAACATTTTTATTGTATATGTAAACAGATGCTTAAATTATCTTTCAATGCAATTTTTTTATGTAGATGGAAAAATTGAATGGAAAATATACTTGAACTATGGGACCCATCGATATGAAGTGCTATATTAATAGTATATTCATTGGATGATTTTTCAATTTTTACTGAGGTTTTAGGAGATATAACTATAAGAGTTTTCTCATATATTAATGTTGTTATATTGTGAGGCAAAACTTGGATAGTATTGTGAATAAAGATAACAATCACCTCCCCTTACAGCAACAAAATTGTTTGTTTCTAAACGGTTTTCCTTCTTCTCTTACAACTTTTTGTTTATAATGCAGGCATCAGATAATGTTTTCATCTACTTTACTTGTGTGGATGGTAATAACGTATTAATGTTATTTTATTTGCGTTGTTTTTGTAAAAAGAGAAAAACAATATACCAAGATGTGATTCTATCAACAATAATGAAGTAGTTATATAAAAAGGCTATAAGTAAACTATGTAGGATCCTATTCATGTCTAGTTCAATTTGTTGTTCAACTTTTGCAGTTGCCAAAAATTCATCTGATTAATTTCTCTGCATTATATGATATGCAGGTCAACTGTATGAGCTTGATGGAAGAATGTCAGGACCAATATTTCATGGTGCATCCTCACCAAGTACTTTGTTGAAGGTAAATTTCTTTCAACGTTAGGCCTATAGTTTTATCGTTCCTTGAAAACATGTATTTAGTAAAAGGAGATGATTTAGTTTGCAAATGCCAGTAATTATGTTGTCACTTCTGATTTTAAATGATGGATGAAGAAGCAAACACAAATGTGCGGGTAATTGGCTCTGGCATTGGAGCACCCACCTTTTAAGAAATTTTTCTGATAGAGTTTGTAAAGTTAGTGATCAAAGAGGCTTTAGAAAGAAATCCTACTTATTATTATTATGGGAATACAAATTTACGCAAAATAAGCTAAAATTACCCCCTAATCATAGAAGGTAAAGAGGAAATAGATAGGAAACTACTCCTAACATACAACAGCTATCATCAATCAGGATACAACTAAGAAATTACGATAAATATACCACATTGACTGCTACTTGCATTAACTACCACCTCCTATGATGACCAAGATCTTCTCCAACATTCCCCTCAACCTAGTGAATAGATATTAATCATTCCTAGTTTATCTATTAAGAATTCAAACCCAGATATTTCTCATGCATTATGGTGTCATGTTGGAATACAGAAGATATTGATAATTTGATATCCCTTAAAACAATTTCATATATAATTGACAAAGCACATAGTGTCATGTCAATTTCATATATCATGGTGTCATGTCATGACAAAGCACATAGAGTTCCACTCTCATTTCATTAAAGAAAAGTTGATGTGGTTATGGGATAACAAATATAACTTTCAAATACATTATAGAAAGACTTAGTTCATATGTTTTAGAGTTTGAAAACTTTAGAAGACAACTTCATGAGACATGTTAAAATACTTCAAGTTGTGACTTGTCAAATATCATGACTTTGCATCTACATATTGTTATCTTTGGCGAGTTTCTAGCAAATTGAATTTTGATTTGTTATTATGCCAATTTTTATGTATTTTTAGTTTTATTTGTACACAATCTAAGGTTTCTACATATATAATTATGTAAACCATATAATTCATTTATATATCTACTATATAATTGATATCGTGGATTATTGGCTTTTTGTCAGTTTTTGCAATATGCTATTAAAGTGAGATGGTCTGTGTTTTAAATATTATAATATGAAAACTAAATAAAACAACATTGTTTTAGGGAAGGGTTTTGAAGTCTATGCCACTCTATCATCACTACTAGAAAAATGTCAAATAGTAACCGAAATCAGTGATCGAAAAATTTAGTTACTATCGGTGATCGAATCAAGTAACCAAATTATTATTTTTTAGTCTAGTAATCGAAATAGTAACCGAATTTTCGGTCACATAAAATCTAGTTACTATTTCAGTCACTTTATTATTTAATTTATTTTTTTAATTAATCTATATTTAATTTATGTAATTATTAATTTTTTTTATATTTAGTAACCGATTTAGTGACTAAAATTTCAGTCACTAAAAAAATAATTTTTACACTCGATAACTATTTTTCATTTATATAAATATTTTATTTAAAATATTTTAAATATAAATTTACTTAATAATTTAAAATAATTGATAACATTTTTAATAACATTATAAATATTTTAAAAAAATTGTTTACTAACTTATTAAATAATTTAGTAATATAATTATTTGATTTTATTTTTTTATTTAGCATGTGAATAAAAAAATTAAAATTGATTATTAAATTAGTCACCGAATCGGTCACTAATTCGGTCATCGATTCGGTCACTCGAATCAGTCACTGATTCGGTCACTGAATCGGTCACTCGATTCGATCATCGAATCGGTCACTAAATCAATAATTAAATTAATTATTAATTTAGTCTCTTATATATATATATATATATATATATATATATATATATATATATTACTTGTATGTTAATAAAAATGTATTTCAATGTATTTATAAAAAATTAAAATTATTTTAATTACTGAATTGATATTTTAAATTTATATTAATATCTTGAATAATTTAATAGTTGGATATATATATATATATATATATATCACTTTAATTTTTTTAATTAAAATTAATTTCATAAAAAATTAATATTTGAAAATTAAAATGCAAAAAAAAATATATATATATATATATATATAAATTTATTTATTTTTTAAAGATGATATATTCAATGTATGTTAAAAAGTTCAAGCCAAACTGTTTTTATAGAAGATTTTCAAAACCGCTGGTTTAATTAATCTGTTAAAAGATTCTTTTAATCTGTTAAAAGTGCAGCTTTAATCTGTTAAAACTTCTTTTAATCCACTAATACGTTCTTGATTCTTTAATCGATTTGTTTTAACTGATACGACAACATTTATATCAATTAAAACACTTTACAAAAAATCTTCTAAGTTGATTTAATCGATTGTTTCGCGATTCAATCGATTGAAATACTGCAAAACTTTCTCCTAAAACTTTTCAAGTTATTTTAACTAATAAAAATAAGTTTTAATCGATTAAAACGCTGTGCAGAATCTGCTTTAATCGATTGAAATGAGATTTAATCGATTAAAATAGTTATGATCGGTCATAAATGCATTCTCGACCGATCATAATTGAAACCATATAATAGTGGTTCAAGGGTTAACCGCTATCTAAGTCATATTTTAAGAGCTGTTCCGTGTAACCGCTATCTAAATGTCATCTCGCTTGAGCGACAACATTCTCGCTCGAGCTAAACGCCCCTGCACAAAATTAGTACTCTCGAGTTGTATTTCGCTTGAGCGAGTCTATCTCGCTCGAGCGATAGTTGATTCTGATCGATTATATTTTCGAAATGATCGATCATATTTGATAATTTTTTCAAATAATTAATTATAATCGATTAGTTTTCTAAATTATTGATTAGAATTGATTAGTTTTTCAAATAATAGATTAGAATTGATTAATTTCTGAAATATATACTAAAAAAATATAATTAAAACTATAAATTAGTTAAGAATATTGACTATTGTAAAGATAAAGTAGAAACATGGGAGGAGATGAGGATGATAATATAATGATAGAACTTACAAAAATGTAGAATTGAGAAGTTTGAAACAAATAAAAATAAGAAAATAGATATTTAATTACACTTTTAATAAATTTAAGATAATACTAGTTTTGATTTTTATTTTTAAATATTTAAAACAGAGAAACTATAATTTTAGTTTCTAGCTACTCGAATTTAAAGAATTAAATTTATTATTATTTAATCTTTTAATTTGTAGAATTAAACTCAATATAATTGTTAAAAATACTTTGTAGAGGCATTTGAGAAAACTTTTGTCAAAATACTTTGTTTTTAATTGTTAAAAACATTTGTAGAGGCATTTTGCAAAACATAATTGAGATGATATGATAGCGGTTCCACCTTAACCGCTATCTAAAGTATAATTAAGATAACTGGTTAATGGTTAACTGCTATTAGAAGTGCATCTTTAAGAGCTGGTCCTCGTGGAACCGCTATCTAAAATGTATTTCGCTTGAGCGACAATATTCTCGCTCGAGCGAAACTCCAACCGCACAAAATTCGCATTCTCGGTTGTATTTCGCTTGAGCGACACTACTCTCGCTCGAGCGAAATACGATCCTGATTGATCATAACTTGAAATGACCGATCATAATTGAGAGGATATAATAGCGGTTCCCTCATAACCGCTATCTAAAGTGCATATTAGATATTCGAGGTGTATTTCGCTTGAGCGAGACTACTCTCGCTCAAGCGAAATCCGAT